TCAACATTGTGCTGGAGGTCCTAGCCAGAGCAATTAGGCTAGAAAAAGAAATAAACAGCATAAAAATTGGTAAGGAAGAAGTCAATGTATCTCTATTTGCAGAGGATATGATCTTATACACAGAAAACCCCAAAGAATCCACAAGAAAACTACTGGAACTAATGAAGATTTCAGCAAAGTTTCAGTATACAAGATAAACATACAAAAATCAGTTGGATTCCTTTACACCAACAAAGGGAACCTCAAAGAGGCAATCACCAAATCAATACCATTTACAATAGCCCCCAAGAAGATGAAATACTTCAGAATAAATCTAACCAGAGGCGTAAAAGTTCTATACGATGAAAACTACAAGACACTACCACAAGAAATCAAAAGAGACCTGCATTAAGTGGAAAAACATACCTTGCTCATGGATGGGAAGACTCAACATCGTGAAAATGTCAATTCTACCCAAAGCGATCTACAGATACGATGCAATCCCAATCCAAATTCCACTGGCATTTTTTAATGAGATGGAAAAACAAATCAGCAACTGCGTACGGAAAGGGAAGAGGCCCTGAATAAGTAAGCATTACTTAAGAAGAAGAACAAAGTGGGAGGGCTCACACTACCTGATTTCAGAACCTATTATACCGCCACGGCAGTTAAAACAGCCTGGTACTGGTACAGGAACAGATACATAGACCAATGGAACAGAATTGAGAATCCAGACATAAATTCATCCACCTGTGAACAGCTGATGTTTGACAAAGGCCCAAAGTATGTTACTTGGGGAAAGGACAGTCTGTTTAACAAATAGTGCTGGCATAACTGGATATCCATCTGCAAAAAACTGAAACAAGACGCATACCTCACACCATGCACAAAAAAAACTCAAAATGGATCAAAGACCTAAATATAAAATAGAAGATGATAAACATCATGGAAGACAAAATAGGGACAATGTTAGGAGACCTAATACATGGCATAAACAGAATACAAACCATAAGTAACAATGCACAAGCACCAGAAGAGAGACTAGATAACTGGGCGCTCCTAAAAATCAAAAACTTATGTTCATCAAAAGACTTCACCAAAAGAGTCAAAAGACAACCTACAAACTGGGAAAAAAATTTTAGCTGCGATAAATCCAATCAGCATCTAATCTCTAAAATCTACAAGATACTGCAAAACCTCAACAACAAAAAGACAAATAACCCAATTTAAAAATGGGCAAAGGATATGAACCGGCACTTTGCCAGAGAAGATATTCAGGCAGCTAACAGACACATGAAGAAATGCTCACGATCATTAGCCACTAGAGAAATGTAGATCAAACTACAATGAGATATCTTTTCACCTCAACAAGGCTAGCATTAATCCAAAAAACACAAAATAATAAATTCTGGAGAGGTTGTGGAGAGACTGGAACACTTAAACACTGTTGGTGGGAATGTAAAGTGGTACAAGCACTTTGGAAATCCATTTGGTGCTTCCTTAAAAAGCTAGAAACAGAAGTACCATACAGTCCAGCAATCCCGCTCCTTGGAATATATCCTAGAGAAATAAGAGCCGTCACACGAATAGATATATGCACACGCATGTTCATTGCAGCACTGTTCACAATAGCAAAAAGATGGAAACAACCTAGGTGCCCATCAACGGATGAGTGGATAAGCAAATTATGATATATCCACACAATGGAATACTACGCAACGATAAAGAACAATGATGAAACCATGAAACATAACATGTAGGAGTTTGGAGGTCATTATGCTGAGTGAATTTAGTCAGTCACAGAAGGACAAATATTGTATAAGAACTCAAGAAAAGATTTAAACACAGAAGAAAACATCCTTTGATGGTTACGAGGGTGGGGAGGGAGAATGAGGGTTATTTACTAACTAGAGAGTACATAAGAATTATCTTAGATGAAGGGAAGGACAGCACACACTACAGGGGAAGTCAGCACAACTGGACAAAACCAAAGCTAAGAAGTTTCCTGAATACAATCAAATACTTTGCGGGACAGAGTAGCAGGGATAGGGGTCTGGGGACCATGCTTTCAGGGGACATCTAGGTCACTTGGCATAACAAAGCTTATTAAGAAAATGTTCTGCATCCTCCTTTGGTGAGTGGGGTCTGGGGTCTTAAAAGCCTGCAAGCGGTCATCTAAGATGCATCAGTTGGTCCCAACCACCTGGAGTAAAGGAGAATGAAGAACACCAAAGACACAAGGAAAGTAGTAGCCCAAGAGACAGAAAGGGCCACATAAACCAGAGACTTCATCAGCCTGAGACCAGAAGAACTAGATGTTGCCCAGCTACCACCAGTGACTGCCCTGACAGGGAACACAATGGAGAGTCTCTGATGGAGCAGGAGAAAGATGGGATGCAGAGCTCAAATTCTAGTAAGGAGACCAGACTTTATGGTCTGACTGAGACTGGAGGTACCCCGGAAAGCATGGTCCCTGGATTCTCTATCAGCCCAAAACTAAAACAATTTCTGAGGCCAACTTTTCAGACAGGGATTGGACTGGACTGTGGGACATAAAGTGATACTCATGAAGAGTGTGCCTCTTAGCTCAAGGAGATACAAGAGACTAAACGGGCAGGAGATGCGAAGGCAGAGAGGGTTAGGAGCTGGTTGAATCGACATGGGGAATCGGGTGGAAAGGAGGAGTGTGCTATCACAGTATGGGGAGAGCAATTAGAGTCATGTAACAATATATGTATAAATTTTTGTATGGAAGAAAATAAAAAATAAACAGGTATAAAAAACGTTGTGGGTGCGCAGGAGACAGGAGCATCAAGGAGGAGAGCAGTGTTGCCATGGTAACCCCACCTGTGCCTTCCTGCAGCCCTCTCAGTTTTCCATGGGTGGCCACCTGTCCCCATGGCCCATGTATGCCAGTGGCCAGACCATTCTGCCGAACCGAAAGCCCTGTTCAGAGGACTACCGGAAGCGAGAAGGGTAAGCCCGGGCCAGCGTGATGGGGGGCAGCTAACACAGACTGGGCTTCAGACCGAGAGACAACAGCGGTGTGTGCAGCGGTGTGCTCATCTGAGCCCAGCATATCCCCTGCAGTAGCTGGCAGCAGCAGTCCTTGGGCATTGCCAAGCCGAGGTACTTGGAGCAGCTGGAAAACTACCTGCGCAAGGAGCTCCTCCTACTGGACCTGGGTACGGATTCTGCCCAGGAGCTGAGACTGCAGGTCAGAGCCACAGAATAAATTGTTGGAAGGTCAGGCCAGGGTGGGAGGAGACCTCACCCACCAGGACTAGGCACTCAGACCCTCAGGAGAGACCAGCCACTCCCAGCGCTTTTGGGATCTCCTTCCCAATGAGAGAAGCATGTCCTCTGACAAAGCCAGTGAGAAAGACAAGGATGTGGTGTAGAACTAAAACTCTCCTAAGGCTTCTGTTTCCCCACCTGAGTCAGGTGGACCAGGTGCTATCTCCAGCCCCTCCAACTCTGAACACTGGCATTTGTATTCAGTGTCCTCACAGTGTCCACCTGCCCAGCCAAGGACAGCCCCAAGCTTGAGGAGCCAGCCAAGACACATAAAGAGAGAAATCTAGATGCCACCTAGATTCTGGTACATATTAGGGAGGAAATTGCCAAAATTCACTGCTCAAACAGGGATGAAGATGGGGACTCTCTGACTCCTGACTTACTCACTGACTGAAGCATTTATTGAGTACCAACTGTGTGCCAGGCCCTGGGCTGGGGACTTACATATGATCTCATATGCAGAAGGTACCTCCCCAACTAGGAAGCAGAAGTTTGGAGAAGGCATATAGCTGTAAAGTGGTGTGGCTGGGATTCAAACTCAGGCCTTATTCCCAAACCTTTGCCCATCCCAGTGAACAATGCTACCTCCAAACACATCTGTGGGTCCAAGTGGGACAGGAAACCATACCCCTACTTGGTGGTTAGATGCCAGGTTAGAACCTTCGATCTCCTCCTGCCCCCACAGGACTCTAAGATGGGGAACGGTGTAGGTGAGAGGCCAGCTGAGTTACAGGGCCTGGAAGACAAGAGGCTGGCTGCCTAGAGAGGGGCTAGGGCACAGAGGAGAGGTCCTGGCCCAGGGTGGTTTGCCAGGCCTCCAAGATAGCACCCAGAGAAGCCTCCAGAGAACAGTGAAGAGGGCAGAGCTGCCCTACAGCCCCTTGGCACTGAGAGAGACCTGAGTGGAGCACAGCGCATGTACTTGAATATGCGCTGCCTGGCAGCCTCCTGCTGGAATACTTCTAAGCCAAGTAAAGAAAATTACAGGTGCCCTCTAAGGGTAGCATAGCAGCTACGGGTCAGAAGGTGACAGGTTCCCTTTCCTTGCCAGCCTTACAGAGAGATCTTTGAGTTCTTCATAGAGGACTTCAAAACATACAAGCCATTGCTGTCCTCCATCAAGAATGCATATGAGGTCATGCTGGGTAAGACAGCAGCTACCCTTGCTTCAGTCTCCCCACCTGAGTCAGGTGGACTGGATGCTGTCTCCAGCCTGGAAGGAATGGAGAAGATCCTACTCTGACCCTCTGGGCCCCACAACAGGGCTGGGGCAGCTACGAACCGGACCTTGAGGTCCCCAAGCCCTGCTCAGTACTTTTGCTCACACTGTCCTGTGAGAGGGCCCCAGGGTACCGATCACCTCCCATCCTTGGGAAACACAGTGGGAAGTATCTGTAGGAACCAGAGCAGCTTTCCTGTTGCGAGTAAACCCCAGGAGAAAGTGAGTCCTTCTGAGAAGCGAGGAGGCCCCCCTCCCCTGGCCAGGCTCAGGAGGTACAGGGTATGGTGGGGCTGCAGTATTAAAGGCTACCTAGGAAAAAGGCCTAATCTGGACTCTGCCCCCGATTTAAAAGCAAAGGCAGAAAGGTCTTTATAGCAGGGGCCATGGATTTAAACAAAGTGTGCAGAGACTCCTGGAGTTGGCAGAGGATGTGGCCCCTTACTTGTGATCTTAGGGTCTGTGTCTCCTAGTTATTCTCCACAGCCCAAAGGGAGCCTCCCTACTGCCTCTGCTTTAGCCCACCAGAGGGAGAAGATACGGGCTCTGGAGCCCCTGAAGGCCAAGCTTGTCACTGTGAATGAGGACTGCAATGAGAGGATCCTGGCCATGCGGGCTGAGGAGAGATATGAAATCTCCATGCTCAAGAAGGAGAAGATGAATTTGCTAAAACTCATTGACAAGAAGAATGAAGAGAAGGTCTCACTGCAGAGTGAGGTAAATGGGGAATGGGGTGCAGTAACCAACTCCCTGAATTCCTGCGCTACCTCCACCCCAGGGGTGACCTTGAGGTCTTGAGCACCAAGGTGATGCTTTAACCCCTCTACCCTTCTGCCTGGAGTGACATACTAAGCCACACCCTCCCCAGAGTTTCTGCTATCACCACACTGCCTTCCTGCTTGGTCCTGAGTGCCAGCAGAGCCCTGCTTCTTGGCTGCCAGGCTTTCTGGAAGATTGGCCCTTTGCTGGATTCTCAGGGATGGCCAATCTCTTTCCTCCATCTTTCCTGTTCCCAAGTCCTGATGGGGCCTCCCAGCATCCATCCCATCCCCTGTAATAACTAGCTGCATATAGGAGTCCAGAGGCAGCCCCTGACCACACAGCCACCTTCCCAACAGGTGACCAAACTGAGGAAAAACTTGGCTGAGGAGTACCTCCACTACCTCAGTGAGCGAGATGCCCGCAAGATACTCCTTGCAGACCTGAATGAGCTACGCTATCAGCGGGAGGACATGTCACTAGCCCAGTCTCCGGGTAAGCACGAGGTGGACTTCTTTCCCCTGAGGAGGTGCTGGAGAGGAGTCCAGCTCTCACCATTCACTCCCTCTCATTCATCTCTTTTAATATCTACCCATCCCATGCCCATTCACAATGGGAGATGTCCGTGCCTCCACCTGGGGCTATGGGTCTTCTGGGCTGGACTGAGAATCATAAGTGGAAACATTGTTGGCAGCTGAGGCAACCTAGACTTCCTGTGTAAGAGACAGGTGTGGTACCCCATGTCCTGGACTTCTCTACTTCAGCCTGAAGCCTCAGGCTGGTTACACTGTAGGCAAGACTCAGAGGACCCCAAGCAGGAAGAACAGGACCTGGGGCATACCCTCTGGGTCACTCTATCCCTGTCCTGGGCCACAGGCCCTGGAGCCAAGGTGACATGGGCTGGCGGGCCCCTTGGCAGGGATCTGGGGGGAGGACCCCATGAAGTTAACACTGGCTCTGAAGATGACCCGGCAAGACCTGACACGCACGCAGATGGAGCTCAACACTATGAAGGCCAACTTTGGAGATGTAGTACCCAGGAGGGACTTTGAAATGCAGGAGAAGACCAACAAGGATCTGCAGGAGCAGGTACTGGCAGGCAGGAAGGGCCCGGAAGGGTAGGGCAGGGCAGGCAGATGGGTATCGAGGACCAATCACCTTGTCCATAGCTGGACAGCCTGCGAGCTGACTATGAAGAAGTCCGCAAGGAGCATGAGATACTGCTGCAGCTGCACATGAGCACACTGAAGGAGCGGGACCAGTTCTATGCTGAGCTGCAGGAGATCCAGCGCACCTCCACGCCACGGCCCGACTGGACCAAGTGTGAAGGTAATGATGGCCACTGGGGCCCCAGGGACTGCTCCATTGCCTCATCTGGACTCCAACACCCTCTCCCCACCTGCAGATGTCGTGGCAGGGGGCCCAGAGCGTTGGCAAATGCTGGCCGAGGGTAAGAACAGTGACCAGCTGGTGGACGTGCTCCTGGAAGAGATTGGCGAGGGGCTGCTCCGGGAGAAAGATTTCTTCCCTGGTCTGGTAAGGGAGTCTCTGGGCTGGGAAAACTTGAGGTCAGAGTCAGTTAGGCCTTACTGCTGAGGCTTGGGGTTCTGGAGAAACTATGCAGGGCCCTGCCTGCTTAGGGGTGGGACCACAGATGGGCCCAGAGGTGAGCTGACACTCTCCCTTCCAGGGCTATGGGGAAGCCATCCCCCCTTTTCTTCGGTTCGATGGCACTGTGGAGAACAAGAAGCCAACAAAGAAGGAGGTGGTAAACCTCCTCAAGGATGCCTGGAAGGAACGTCTCTCTGAGGAGCAGGTCAGATCTCACTAGGCCCCTTGGCCCAGCTTGGCCTCCAGAGTCTTCCAGGGGATTCCCTCAAAATGCTAGGGAGCAGGGAGGAGGGCCAACCAACCCTGGGAAAGGCTAACTGAGCAGTCTTCCCCTCACTATACAGAAAGAGCGGTTCTCAGATTTCTTCTTCAATTTTCTGGAGCGTCGCTTTGGGCCCACTGATGCCATGTCCTGGGCCTACACCATTTTTGAAAATATCAAGCTCTTCCACTCCAACGAGGTCATGAGTCAATTTTATGCAGTCTTGATGGGAAAGGTGAGCTTGGGCCTGGCCCCTCACCTGCTCTTCTCAGGGAGACAGAGAGGGGCCTTTGTCCCCAGCATAGGCCAGCTCTGCGCCCACCACTCCAGGAAATAAGTTAGTGAAGACTTCCCTCCCTGTAGATGAAGGAGAGCGTGTATATCAATCAGAAGGAGACAATAGCACAGCTGCTGAAGGAGATGACGAGTGTTGACAGTCAGAACGAGGGACTTCTATCCATGGAGCAGTTCGGGTGAGGCCAAGCCCAAGCTCCCGGGTGTGCAGGGAAAACAGGAGCCTGGTGGGAAGGGCCACAGCCTCAGTACTTACTGCTGTTATGAGCACTGGTGGGGCTGGCAGTGGAGGGGATAGGGAAATGGGTGGGCAGGCCTCAACCAGGCCCCTGTTGGCTCTCATGTATCTTCACAGCACCATTCTCAAGAGTACATTCCCCCTCAAGAAAGAAGAGCAAATTCAGGAATTGATGGAGGCAGGGGGCTGGCATCCCAACAGCAGCAATGCAGACCTGCTCAACTACCGCTCATTGTTTATGGAGGTGGGGGGGGGGGATCCAGGAACTTGCATGGCCCCTACCCCTTAGCCTCAGCTAGACCCTGGGCAGTATGCCCTCACCCTGCCTTGTGGCCCCTCCTAGGATGATGAGGGCCAGAGTGAGCCCTTTGTTCAGAAGCTGTGGGAACAGTATGTGGATGAGAAGGAGGCATATTTGCAGGAACTAAAGCAGGAGCTGGGCCAGGAACTGTGAGTGACCTTGGGGTTCTCGGGCCCATAGGTGAGTCCTGCAGGATGGGTCACATGGTGGCATCTCAAGCCCCTGGGTCTCTCTCTTCACTAAGCAGACTGCTCAAGCCCAGCAGAAAGGACACCCTGGGGTCTGGGGGTGCAGAGCAGTGATCAAGGCCTGTCTCTCTTCTCATGGGGCAGCTATAATGAGGTAACTCCACGCAAGTTGCGGGAAGCACTAATGAACATTGACCCCAGTCTGGACACTCAGACCCTGAACACCTACATAAGCCAGGCCTTCCAGGTCCCGGTGACAGACCTGCCAGAGGAAGGTGACGAGAAGGAAGAGGACATTAAGACATGGCTTCAAACTGTGATGGAACGACTTCAAGTGGCTGACATCAGGCGCGTGGGGCCTCAAGGAGAGCCAGAGCCTGCAAGCTAGGGCCATTCTGGGCAGTCTCAGTGCTCCAGTGCCGCTAACGCCTGACTTCTAGTATAAAATTTTTATTTGTCCAAATCTATGCCATTCTCCTTGCTGTGCTGCGTAGTGGCAGGGGAGCGAGGGTGGGGAGACAAGCACCAAACACAGCATGTTCTGTTTGTGATACTTTATTGAGGTGGGGGTGGGGGAGGGGAGGGAGGAGACCTGGAGGAGTATGTGGAGTCAAGAGAGCCCAGGTGGGAACAGGGCAAGTGTTGAGGCCTGGCCACTACTGAGCAGGGAACACAGAGTTGCCACTGAATGCACAGGGGATGAGGAGCTGCCGGTACTCCAGGGGCAGGTACCGCTCCACAAGCACGTGCAGTGAGACTTCGTCAGTGACCAGGCCCTGCCTGCAGCAAATGGAGAGAGGGATAGACAGAATCAGTGCCAGCACCATGTGCAGAGGGGCCAGCACCCCACCCACCCGCTCACCGCCGCATCAGCAGCTCCAGGTCTTCTGGCTTCACAGTCTTGCGGCCTGCATGAGCAGCAAATACCTCCAGATCATTGCAGAGATGCTGGAAATACTTGTCCAGGCTGCCAAGAAGGTTAGGGTACAACAGACTGAATGGGCTGTTGGGGATCTGAGGGGCTCTGCCCCACCCTAAGCGTCCAGAACTCACCACTTCTCCACCATCTCAAGAGCCGCCTTCTCCATGGGCATTTTAGCATAGAAGCTAAAGAGTTTCGCATAGTGGTTCAGTCCAGCCTTATGGGGATCTTGACAGGGCCTGGGGCCAGCAGTTCGGGGCCTGGGGGGAAGCCTGGCCAACAGAGGCTGCAGAGGCTCTGTACACAAGCTAGGGACAGGAGTGGTCAAAGGTGGCTCAACTGCTGCCTAAAGAGACCCTTATTCAAGGACAAAGGAGCCCTGGTGGTGCAGTGGTTAACCACTCAGCTGTTAATTGAAAGGTTGGTGGTTCAAACCCACCAGCTGCTCTGCGGGAGAAAGTTGTGGCAGTTTGCTTCCGTAAAGATTAAAGCCTTGGAAACCTTACAGGGCAGTTCTACTCTGTTCTATAGGGTTGCTATGAGTTAGAATTGACTCAACGGCAGTGGGTTTTGGGATTCACGGACAAATCTTGCTGGCTGCTGTTGAGACTGGGGCCCATGTGCACCTTGGCTGGCCTAGGCCAGCAGCTCCAACCATTGGCTGGGGAGGGTGGAGATGGGAGCGCACAGAGGCCTGGTCCTTCCCTGGGGCCCTGCTCCTTCAAAGCCTGGACCTAACATCCTAGCCTAGCCTCATCACACAAACCAGTACTTGCCTGGGCCCATGACTTTAAGGCCTCAGCATTCCCTCCCCATTGCTGCCTGTCCCGATTCTGCTAATCCTCCTCCAAGAAGCTTTCCCCAGCTCCTCTTAAGTCCCTGGAGGCAGGTACCAGGATGACAGATGTCCGCTGGGTTAGCCCCTCTGAGCCCAGTTTAGGCTACTCTACTGGGTAATCATTTGCATACCTGTGGGATGACCCTGGGTGCATGGATGCCCAATGCCAGCCTCAGTGCCTGCCCTCTTCCCAAGAGGAATGGGGACCTAGAATCTTACTCTGCAGTGCTGCGTGGTGGAACTGGCTCAAGAAACTGATGAAGTCGCCTGGTTTGGAGAGACTCGGGGGCACTGGAGGCCAACTGTGGACTTGCTGCAGAGGAAGGGAAGATCACAGGGGGCTCAGTCCTGACCATCTCACCCAGCCCTGCAGGTCCACAGCCTCCTTGTCTTGTTCCTCAAGGGTCTCTCTTAGCTCCAGCCAGCTAGGCAAGGGAGCCCTCAGAATCTCCCACGCCCCCTAACACCAAACCACCAGTGCCCAGAAACGCAGCCCAGGCAAGCCCCTCCTCCAAGGCCAGGGCCTGAACATAGTTGTTACCACTCACCTTCTTGATCCCTGCAATGGGCCCCTTACCTGTCCTGTCAGAAGTATCCTCATCCCCTGAAGATCCTTCTGGTTCCTCAGCCTCAACAGCCCCAGCAGATCCATTTGCTTCTGTCACCTCTGTGTGCCCCTCAGACTCTTCCACCTCAGCAGATCCTTGTGCTCCTCTTGCCTCCTCTGCTTCACTCACACTCATACCTCCTTCTTCCATCCTTTCCTCTGCTTGCTCATCAGCTGCATCCCCTAAGGGCTCTACTCCATCTTCTCCAGAGATACCACTGTTGGTGTTTGGGAAGCCCACAGCAAGGGTGTTGACCTCCACTGCCCTTCCTGCTAGAAGCTGGGTTGGTTTCCCAGGACCTGAATTAAGGGAAGAGAATACAGGCTGGAGAAGCAGCAGGCCAAGGCTGTAGTTTTGAGAAGGGTAAAGATGGAGTAGCGAAACCCAGCCCAGCCCACCTTGGGGAGAGAAGGCCAACGGCAGCCCCAGAGCACTGATGTGGAGTCTCCTGACCCAACACTGATATGCTCTCGGATGGAAGAGGGACCCACAGCGAGGAGGCTCTGGGGGCACACATATGGGCCTGAGGAGGGAAAGCCACCAATACCAACTCTTGCCAAGGCTAAGCTTGGTTCTAGACTACCTGACCCACATACTCACTGTTGTTCTGTAGCCCAGGCCCACTCTGTGTCCTGCGACCGACAGCCCTCTCAGCATCCGCAGCCCCAGTGTGAGAGGGACAGGGCAGGGAGCAGCGAGTACTGGGGGAGCAGCCAACCAAGGGTGGGGAGAAGGGCTGGGTGTCTTCCAACACAGCATCCTTTGGCAGGGTAGCAACAGGGGTTCTGCGGCTATTGCCTGGGGATCAAGGACCAGCTGGCACTCAGTGTATTCCCGGCCCCCCCTGCGGCTACCCAGAGTCACCAGGGCCTGGGCAATGGCCCCATGAGTCTGCCCCAGGCAGCCTTCGGAGGGAGAAGGCTACCTAGTACATGGGCCTGGCCCACCCTAAGCCTCATCTACCTTCCCCTGCCTCCTTGTTTACCAAAGGCAGTCCCTGCTCCTTAGCCTGACACTCCCAGGCTTCCACAGCATGGCCCACACAAACTGCTCACCTGGGCCTCCTCTACCCTCCACTTCTCACTCTGCCCCTTCTGCCCAGAACCATCCTCTTACCCTGATGAACACTGACTTTTCTTCTAGAATCAGCCTCCCAGGTCAGCTCTCACTGGCCAGCTGATCCTGAAACCTGGCCCCTTTCACCCTCCCAACAAGCTCCAGCCACCACTCCAAATGCCTTTCCTGCCCTCAGCCCAGTAGCTCCTCAAGGATATGACAGTCCTGAGACACACTAAGGTACTAAGACTGGGCCCCAACAAGGCAAGGGGCACCTGAAGGAAGAAAGCAGAAACTCCTCACAGACCTACCAGCCAGGAGGACTCATTGTCCTTACCCACAAAAGGAAAGCAGACCCTGGACTCAGTAGCACCTCCTATCTGTCTTGAGGGGAAAGCTTTCCCCACAGGTCTGGGAGGGGGAAACCTCAGCCTCACCTTGAGAAACCAAGGCCATGGAAGTATCTTGCAGATCCTGCAAGAAGGCACCCACATCTACAGCTCGGTGAGTGGGAGGTCTACGGGCCAAACCTGGCCTCCCCACGGACTGTGACTGGAGAGGCGTGGCAAAGGTCAGGTTGAGGGAGCTGGTGGGAGGGAGGGAGGCATAAAGGAAAGTTAGGTACCTGAGACCCAGTTTCCCCAGAGAATTCCCCATCTGCCCTGGGGCTCTCATCTCTTGGACCAGCCACCATTCAGGAGGCTAAAACTGGCAAGGAGGAGTATGGCCAGATTCACCGTAGTCAGCATCTCCCTCCCCAAGCCTTTCCACCAACCCCCAGAACAAGGAAACAGCACCTGGCGAGGGTGGAGGCATCCGCATTCCCATGAGGCTCTGTCAGTACCCGGCAAGGAGATGAAAAAGAAGAAACCACGGTAAGTTACCCAGGCCCATGAGAACCCTCCCTCAGGCCCCCTCAACCTCTCCAGAGGGCAGGAGGGAAAGGGTAGCAACAGGTGGTGTTCAGGGCCTCACCTTGGGAGAGAGGCAACCCTTGGTCCACTCCCTGCTGAAACACTGAGAGTCTCAGCCTCTGCTTCCTCCTTCCAGGGGCCAGCAAACCTGGAGCCAGGGTTGTGGGGGGCTCCAGTTCAGGAAGTTGCAGCTCCAGGCTGCAAGAATGGAGCTGATGTCAGACAGGCTAGGAAGCCCAGTTCTGGCTTTTGGGACCCCCAGGAGACCCCTTGACCTTGGTTGCCCAACAGCTCAGCCAAACAGGGGAGTTCACTGTGCACCTGCCCTGACTGCTTTCCCGTCTGGAGGACTGGACCACTTGTGGACCACTTGTAGACCGCCTGGAGGGCTGGACCACTGGCATCACCACTGACTCTGGCATCACGATGGAAGATTCCGGGGCTGAAGAAACAGCAAGGAGGGTGGGGTTGGCAGGGCAGGCTACCCTGAATGAGGGATAGCACAGGACTGGCCCTAACTCTGGCCAGCAAGCCAGCACATACTCACCAGTCAGTAGGATGTTCTTCAGCAGGGTCCGGGGTGTCTGTTCCTCCAGGTGTCCACTGGCTTGAACATGGGACCATCTGCCAATAGCCTACGGATAAAGCACCAAGCAACCAGTCTGTTCTTTCACTTTGAGTTTCCCTCTGCAGGTCCATACCCTCTGCATCCCCTCAAGGTGGGCTCCAGGGCAGAGCTAGACCTTAGGCAGCCAGGGCCTTGTAGCAGTCAGTGAGCTGGACACTTACCCTGGCTCCACGAGAATGCCGCCTGGCAGTCACCTTTCTTTGGCTGCTCAGACTCCTGGAGGAAGGTGTTTCAAGTAGGGCTCTCTGGGCACTGCGTAAGGACCAGTGGCTCTGAGAACTGTGTAAGGATGGGGAGCTAGAGGATGCACAGACATGCCTTCATCAGGGGTCTTGGCCTGAAGCCCTTTTCCCTCAGGGCCAAAACCAAAACCAGTTGCCACTGAGTGGATTCCAACTCATGGCAACATCATGTATTGCAGACTAGAACTATGCTCCATAGGGTTTTCAAGGCTGTGACCTTTTGGAAGCAGATCGCCAGGCATTTCTTCCACGGTGCCAATGGGTGGGTTCAAACTACCAATCTTTTGGTCAGTAGTCAGCACTTAACTGTTTGCTCACTGGGGAACTCTTCCCTCAGGGCCAGGGACCCAGAAATCACTTGCCTCTCCCATAGCACCTGTTCCCAGCCCTATGTCAATGGGGGGTGCGGATGAAGGGGAGCCCTAGGGCTATGGGAAGAGACAGGGAATATGATTAACATAGCCAGAGAGAGAGAGGCTAAAGAAGGCTTCAAGAAGTGACTTTGACAGAATCATAAAGGATAAGTAGGCATTAGCCACATAGATAAGAGGCACAATTGGGAGACTATCCATTCCAGACATTAAAATAACAATCCAAGAAGGATATTTAAGTATTTTTAAACCTTGTAAGTACTTTTCAGGGTCTGACTGCAAACTCCACGAGTCACCTCAGCTCTACTCTCTCCAGTTCAATCCCTCTCAGGTTCCAGAGCCATATAAACATTCCTGGGGCACAACTCCCACCTCACCACTCCTAGAACCTATAATGATGACTTCTCATTGCCTACTAAGAAACTGAACTGACCCAGTCTGGCAAGTGCATACTCTCTGCACCATGAGCTCGCTACAGCCCTTACTCACCCACCCACACTCTCACCAAGACAGACCAAATCCCCTGGTCCCTAGCAAAGTATTATTCCAATTCCTGTCTCCAGGCTTCAGCTTAGGCTGTGGCTTCCAGCTCCTTTTCCATCTTACAGCTGGGAACTACAGAGACAGTAGGATCGAACGTGCGAGGAAAGGTGGGGACTACCTGCGAGGCAGAAGCTCAGGGCAGATACCTGGCCCCACACACCCTAAGGCTGATTTGGGGGAAGTGGGCTAGGGAACAAGGCAGAGGGTCAGATTCCGGGCGCCTATCCGTCGGCTCCAGAGGCTGGCCCGCTAAAATGCAGACACAGTTGGGCTCTGTGGTCCCGAGGCCCGGCTGCCTGGAGTCCTGAGGGTGCGGGAACAAACAGCTGACCCAAGCCCGGCTAGGGGAGTGGAGCCAGTCCCCTTTCTCAGAGCCTTTGGCTCCGCTCCTCTCCGAGCTTCAGCTTCCTTCTCCAAACTGGGTTAGCGGGGAATCCCACCCAGACCTCAACGCCCAGCCGGAATCCTTGAGCAGCCGCCGCACATACCCAGCCCGTGCACTCCGTGGCCGCAGCGGGGTGCGCGGGGCCGCTGAGTCCAGCACGCGCCGTAGCAGCGTGCGCGTCGTGGGCTCGCTGTCAGGGCTCTGGCTCTTGCAGTCGGCCATCGCCTCAGCCGTCGGCGGTAAACTCTCACCCAGGCCCCGGCGGATCTACTGACTGCGTTCGCACTCCCGACAACGAGATCACCTTGTTCCCGCCCGCCACATTTAAGCCAACTCTCGCGATGTTACCGCACAGCCCCACGGGAATTGTAGTTCTCGCACTACAGCTGGGTGCGCTCAGGGAACTCTACGGTGCTTGCGAACTCTGGCTTTGGATTTGCGCTTGGGCAAATTATGCAACGAGTTGGAGCCTTGATTTCCTCATCTGTAAAATGGGGATGATACCTACCTAATACTGTAACATACATGGGGTTACCATGAGTTGGAATCCACTCGAAGACATTTGCAAAGACCACTCTGTAGGATCTGTATCCATCAAAAGAGACCAGGCTGCAGGCTCCAGGGCTGTTTGTGATTCAGCACAGATATGATCTCCAAACGTGCAGTTTTGAGATGAATTCTACTCTCAAACGTTCTGTTAATGGGAAATCAGGGATGGAAAGGAGGAGTGTGCTGTCACAGTATGGGGGGAGCAATTGGGGTCACAAAGCAGTGTGCGTGTGAATTTTTGTATGTGAGACTGACTTGAATTGTAAACTTCCACTTAAACTACAACAATAAAAAAAAATGATAAAGCTTGTGAAAAAAAAAAAAGTTCTGTTAATGATGAAGCCATTTCCATATTTTCCACCAGTTGACAGTCCCCCTCACCTTAAGAAGTTTTTGTATCAACTGAATTAGAACTTGGGTTTTGAGTCTCCCATAAAGTTTTCCTTTTGCCAGGATCTGCTCGTAGAACAGGTGTTAACTATCAGGTACTGGACCCAGACATGGGCATATTTGTGCTTGTGTTTAAAAATAAAGCAAAGAAAACATTAGATTACTGTTTCTCAAAATCAGGGAACTGCAGAGGAAAAGCATGTCACTATTCTTTGTCGTTTAGCTCTGACCTCTGTGTTATTTCACTTAATTTGCTAAGCCTTTGCAGACACATTTCCATGGTCACTATCAACCCATAAATGCAGTTTTTTTTTATTTATTAGTAAAGCCTTAAACTAGATAATAGGAAAAAGACACAAATATCTTTTCAAAACAGCTTTGGATGTGAGTTTAAGTATTTGCACAGTATTATTCTTTGTGTTCACATAATTTATTAAACTTTATACTTAAACTACTTGTTTAACAAAGCGAACAAACAACACTGGGGTGAAGTGAGAGAGGGAAGAGTGAGAAAGAGTGGCAAGGGGTCTTGCAGGTTCTGGGAAAGAGTTTGGACATTATTCTAAATGCAATGAGAAGCCACTGGAGGGTTTTAAGCAGGAGTATGACATAATCAGATATTCTTCGGCAGTCGTGTGAAGAACAGATTGTAGGCGAGGCAAGATTGGAAACAGGTAGACATGTGATGAGGTTCTTGCCTTTCTCCAGAGGTGACAAATTAGAGGGTGGGGTGGGGAGAAAGTCATGCATTTCAGATACTTTTTGAGTGTAGGATTAAGTGTAGATTAGAGATAATTTTACATACTAGAAGAAAGAATTTTACTTGAGCATATTCCTTAATGTTCTCCGCATAAAGAAATTATATAAATTTGACCTCTCGCCAACATTTCTTGAGCAAGGTGAGTTTTCAGAAAGTAAGGAGTCCAACCATATCAGTAACTATACGACAATGAAAATGTATGATAACAGATATAATGATCTTTTGCACACGTTTTAAAAATATAAACATACAACAAAGTTTACATTCATGTTTATACCATTGTATAAATGATTCACCCCAATAAAGGCACTCCTCTCATAGCGGGCTACACACACCAGATTATGCAATTCTGGATTTGAAGGCATTCAGGCTGTGGACCTCAGCTGTGCAGACCAGGAAGAATGGGACATTCTCCTGTTATGGGTCAGTGAAATCCACACAAGTAACCAAGGATCATATTAGTTGTAAATAGACATGCAACAGTAATGTTTGGGTGCTGGGACTAGAAAAATAATTTTTTCCATAGTCCTGTATTTTCTAAAAGGTTTGAAACATGTGTCCCTTTTATAATAAAGAACAAACATTAAAAAAAAAAAAAGGTGTATAGTCGGAGTGTTATTTTTTTCTTCTGCAAGCTTTTCAACGGCCCACTCTATTGTGTTTTTATATCAAATCATTAGAAATAATATATGTTGTTGTTAGGTGCCATTCATCGAGTTGGTTGTGACTCATAGCAACCCTATGTACAACAGAACAAAACACTGCCTGGTCCTGCGTTGTCCTCACAATTGTTGCTATGTTTGACCCCATTGTTGCAGCCACTGCGTCAATCCATCTTGTTGAGAGTCTTCCTCTTTTTTGCTGATCCTCTACCTTACCATGCATGATGTCCTTCTCCGGGGACTGATCCCTCCTGATAACATGTCCAAAGCATGTGAGATGAAGTCTTGCCATTTTAGCTTCCAAGGAGCACTCTGGCTGTACTTTTTCCAAGACAGATTTGTTCAATCTTCTGGTATTTAGTATCTTCTTCGCCAACACCATAATCCAAAGGCATCAATTCCTTTTCGATCTTCCTTATTCATTGTCCAGCTTTTGCATGCATGTGAGGTAATTGAAAATATCATAGCTTGGGTCAGGCACACCTTAGTCCTCAAAGTAACATCTTTGCTTTTCAACACTTTAAAGAGGTTTTTTGCGGCAGATTTGCCCAATGCAGTAAGTCGTTTGACTTTGACTGCTGCTTACATGGGCATTGATTGTGGATCCAACTAAATGAAATCCTTGATAACTTCAATATTTTCTCTGATTATCAGGATGTTGCTTATTAGTCCAGTTGTGAGAACTTTTGTTTTATGTTGGAGGGTAATCCATATTGAAGGCTATAGTCTTTGATCTTCATCAGTAAGTGCTTCAAGTCCTCCTTGCTTTCAGCAAGCAAGGTTGTGTCACCTGCATATTGCAGATTGTTAATGAGTCTTCCACCAATTCTGATGCCACATTCTTCTTCATATAGTCCAGCTTCTAGGATTATTTGCTCAACATACAGATTGAATAAGTATGGTGAAAGGATGCAACCCTGACGCACACCTTTCTTGATTTTAAACCATGCAGTATCCCCTTGCTCTGTTTGACCGACAGCCTCTTGGTCTATGTGCAGGTTCCACATGAGCACAAGTGAATGTTGTGAAATTCCCATTCTTTGTCATGTTGTCCATAATTTGTTATGATACACACAGTCAAATGCCTTTGCATAGTCAATGAAACACAAGTAAACATCTGTTACAGATTGAACTGTGTTCCCCAAAAATATGTATTAACTTGGTTAGGCCATGACTCTCAGTATTGTGTGACTCTCCACCATTTTGTCATCTGATGTGATTTTCCCATGTGTTGTAAATCCTACCTTTATGATGTTAATGAGGCAGGATTAGAGGCGGTTATGTTAATGAGGCAGGACTCAATCTACAACATTAAGTTGTATATTGAGTCAATCTCTTTTGAGATATAAAAGAGAGAAGCAAGCAGAGAGGGGGACCTCATATTACCACCAAGCAAGAAGAAGAGCCAGGAGCATGCATCCTTTGGACCTAGGGTCCCTGTGCTGAGAAGCTCCTAGACCAGGGGAAGATTGATGACAAGGAACTTCCCCCACAGCCAACAGAGAAAACATTCCCCTGGAGCTGCACCCTGAATTCAGACTTCTAGGCTCCTAACCTGTGAGAGAATAAACTTGTTTGTTAAAGCCATCCACTTATGGTATTTCTGTTATAGCAACATTAGATAACTAAGACATCCTTCTGGTATTCTCTGATTTCAGCCAAGATCCATCTGACATCAGCAATGATATCCCTGGTTCCAAGTCCTCTTCTGAATCTGGCTGGAACTTCTGTTAGCTCCCTGTCCGTGTATGGCTACAATTGCTTTTGAATGATCTTCAGCAAAATTTTACTTGCATGTGATACTAATGATATTGCTTGAGGATTTCCACATTCTGTTGGCTCACCTTTCTTTGGAATGGGCACAAATATGGATCTCTTCCAGTTGGTTGGCCAGGTAGCTGTCTTCCAAATATCTTGGCATAGATGAGTGAGCACCTCCAGCGCTGTGTCCATTTGTTGAAACATCTCAATTGGTATTCTGTCAGTTCCTGGAGGCTTGTTTTTCATCAATGCCTTCAGTGCAGCTTGGACTTCTTCCTTCAGTACCATCAGTTCTTGATCATATGTTACCTCCTGAATTGGTTGAATGTTGACCAATTCTTTTTGGTCCAGTGACTCTGTGTATTCCTTCCACCTTCCTGTGTTGTTCAATATTTTGCCCGTAGAATCCTTCAAAATTGCAACTTGAGGCTTGAACTTTTTCTTTGGTTCTTTCAGCTTGAGAAGTGCTGAGCGTGTTCTTTCCTCTTGATTTTCAAACTCCGGGTCTTTGTATATTTCATTACAACAATTTACTTTGTCTTTTCCAGCCGTCCTTTGAAATCTCCTGTACAGCTCTTTTACTTCATCATTTCTTCCATTCACTCTAGCTGTTCTAGGTTCAAAAGCAAGTTTCAGAGTCTCTTCTGACATCTGTTTTGGTCTTTTCCTTCTTTCCTGTCTTTTTAATGACCTCTTGCTTTCTTCATGTATGATGTCCATGATGTCGTCCCACAACTCGCCTGATCTTCTGTCATTAGTGTTCAGTGTGTCAAATCTATTCTTGAGATGGTCTCCAAATTCAGGTGGAATATACTCAAGTTCATATTTTGATTCTTGTGGACTTTTTTTTTTTAATATTTTTTTATTGTTGTACTTTAAGTGAAAGTTTACAATTCAAGTTAGTCTCTAATACACAAATTTATACATACAGTTATGTGACCCTAATTGCTCTGCCTATACCGTAACAGCACACTCTTCCTTTCCACCCCTGATTTCCTGTGTCCATTCAACCAGCTCCTGACCCTCTCTGCCTTCTCATCTCACCTCGGGACAGGAGCTGCCCATTTAGTCTCATGTACCTACTTGAGCTAAGAAGCACA